GTCAGTGTTTGCTAAGTGAATGAACTATATAGGCCTTTTTCTGTGCCAGACAGATGAAATCCTCAAAGAACATTGACTCTCCATTTTAAGACAACCAGAACCAAGAAACATTTATTCATTCAACAAACATTTATTGAGCATTTATTTTTGTCTTGGGCACTGAAAATACAAGAATGAGTAAGCTATGGTTCCAGCCCTTAAGGGGCTTTTAAAATGGTTGTCCTATGTTGTGAGAGAAGGATGAAGGGAAAACTGGAGAGTCTACGTGTACAAGGTTGGGCCAGGTCAAGAAGGTTTCCCAGGGGTGCCATGCTTGAGCTGCATCCTGAAGGAGTTGGTTGGAGACAGGAAGTGCTCGGGTACTCTGGGCCAAGGCCCAGACACGAGGGGACATGCCCATTCAGGAACTGTGAGTATAGAGGGCTATGGGGATCGCCCAAGAGAGCAGGGCAGGAATAGCCCTCGTGGGTCCTGGGACTCTACATGTCATGCTGAGGCAGCAGGATTTGTCCTGATGGTGGTGGCAGCCTTCCAAGACTTTAAAAAGTGAAGGTGAAAGATGAGGTGTAAAGCAAACAGAGTGCCTGGGGGTGGAGAGGAGGAAGGTCCAGAGGTCTCAGGGAGGTCAGTGGACAGTGTGGCTAACACATGTGGCAGAGGAGGCAAGATCACTTCAGCTTCTGGCTTAGAATCTCAGGTGGCTGGTGGATTCTGGTGAGAAGCAGCTTTGGGAAAAGCTGATCAGCTGAACTGAGGATGCTGTTTCATTTCCTAGGGTTGCTATAACAAATTACCACAAACTAGTGGCTTAAACCAAAAGAAATTTGTTCTCCCAGTTCTGAAGACCAGAAGTACAAAATCAAGATGTTGGCAGGTCCACACTTCTCCAGGGGCTCTGGGAAAGAATCCTTCCCTGCCTTTTCTAGTTTCTGATGGCTTCTGGCATTCCTTGGCTTGTGAGAGCAACACTCCAATCTATGCCTCTGTCTTCACATGACCTTCTTATGTCTCTCCTCTGGACATTCTTATAAGAACACTTGTCACTGGATTTAGGGCTCACCCTGATAATCCAGGCTAGTCTTATCTTGATATCCTCAATTACATTTGCAAAGATCCTTTCTCCAAATAAGGTCCCATTCATAGGTGTTGGGTATTAGGACATGGACATACCCTTTTGGGGGCAAAGCCCAACCACCTGTAGGAACCATGCAGAGATGGGCCTCAGCGGAAAGGCAGGACTTGACATTATCCTAGAGATGGTCATTCCAGGTAGAGGAAAAGAGGGTACAGAATGGGACTCTGGATAACCTGAGGTTAAAGGGGTCATAGGAAGTGTAGACTTTGTGAGAGACTCTAGAGTTGAGGATGCGGTGGTGGGGCACCCTAGGGCGGGTAGTAAGGATGCTGAGCGGGACAGGGACAGAGTGTCAGATGGTGTAAGGAGAGCTGGTGAGGACAGCAAGGAGTCTGCTGGCTTTAGCAACCAGAAGGCTGGTGACCCGAAACAGGGGTTGCTGGGAAATGGGGCTGAGGAAGGTGTAGCAGGTGAGGATTGTAGGGAAGCCTCCTGTGGAGGGGAGAGGAGTGAGCAAGTGAGGTAACAAGGGGACCTGGCTAGAGTATGCTCTCCATGCTTTCTATTTCTTTTTTTCCCCTATTTTTGAATGGGAGAGACTTGGTCATGTTTAGTGGTGGATATAGAAGGTCTGTAAGAGACGGGGAGAGATGTCATGTCTTGAATAAAAATGTCAGGCGGGAGAGCAGATATACAGACTGATACTACTGTGTAGAAAAATACTGGAGCCTGGCTGGTGTGGCTCAGTGGTTGAGCATTGACCCATACACCAAGAGATTGCTGGTTTGAGTCCTGGTCAGGGCACATGCCCAGGTTGTGGGCCCAATCCCCAGTGGGGGGCATGCAGGAGGTGGTCAATCGATGTTCTCTCTCATCAATATTTCTCTCTCTCTCTCCTTCTGACTTCCTCTCTGTCTAAAATCAATAAAGAAAGGAAAGAAAAAAAATGCTGGAAAGATACATAAAATGTTATTGAGAGGGGTCATCTCTGAAGTTCAGGACTGGGGCTAAGAGGTAGGATGGAAAAGGGCACTCACTTGTTATTTAATACCCTTTCTCACTGTTTGATTTTTTCCCTCTATGAGCATGTGTTTCTTTTGTAACAAAGCTCTCATTTAGTTATTATTATTATTATTATTATTATTATTATTATTATTTTTTTTTTTTATCCTCACCCGAGGATATTTTTCCATTTTTTCTACAGATAGAGCGGGAGGGAGAGAGAGGAAGGGAGAGAGAGAGAGAAACATCGACGTGAAGGGACACATCGAGTGGCTGCCACCCGCACGACCAACCAGGGCCGGGGACAAACTGCAACAGAAGTACGTGCCCTTAGCGGGAACCGAACCTGGGTCTCTCCGGACCACAGGCCGACGCTCTAACTGCTGAGCCAAACTGGCCAGGGCTAGTTATTATTTTTTTAATGATTTTTTAATGATTGATTTTAGAGAGAGAGGAAGGGAGAGGGGGAGAGAGATAGAAACATCGATGAGGGCCCTGGCCGGTTTGGCTCAGCGGTTAGAGCATCGGCCTGCGGTACAGAGAGACCCGGGTTCGGTTCCCGTTAAGGGCATGTACCTTGGTTGCAGTTTATCCCCGGCCCAGGTTGGTTATGCGGGTGGCAGCCACTCAATGTGTCCCTTCACATCAATGTTTCTCTCTCTCTCTCTTCCTCTCTCTCCCTCCCGCTCTATCTGAACAAAAAAAGATGGAAAAATGTCCTCGGGTGAGGATTAAAAAAAAAAAAAGTGACCTCCTGGTACGTGGGTTGATGCTCAACCACTGAGCCACACTGGCCAGGCTCATTTAATTATTTAAAACGAGAGGAAAGGTGAAGTTCCAGAAGCAAGAGATTACAGAGAAGGCAGAAGCTGGGCTCCCTCAGGTGAGGTCTGCCTTGACCCTGGGTGGAGAGGTAGGGGCCCAGGAGAAGGGCCAGGAGTGTTTGAACCAGGACAGGAAATGATAGGCTTTCCTCCTTGAAGTTGGAGGTAAGCCCATGAGGGGTAGGGGCTTTAGTAGTAGGATTGGGGGGTGGAGGGGCAGACTGCTAACTATAGGGACCAGGGGAAGGTTGTGGGCAGCACAGATTCTCCACCCCTGTGTGAGGTTGTGGCTCATTTGCTGGTCTCCACCCTTCCTGGGTTGTGGCTATGGAATGGGGCTCAAGGGTTGATTGGCTTCTCCAAGGCTTGGCGATGGACCCCCTGGATAACACCAGGTCTGGGGAATCTTGCTGTAGGGGGTGTTGAGGAGACGTAGAGCCCCGAAAGTGGAGGGGCATGGCCTGCATTACCTCAGGCCTAGGAGAAAGAGTGTCTGCAGGGAGCTGAGGGCTAAAGGGAGGGAGGCAGCACTCAGCATAGATAGTGAGGAGGCAGGAAGGTTGTGGTGGAATTATGGGGCTGATGGTGGTGGAAAGATGGAGAGCAGACAGACAGCTGTGGGCCGTGGATGGGGAGAGATGGCCAGAGGCTGGGGGACATCATCCAAGCGATGGTTACAGCCAGGCTTGCAAACCGAGATGAGACCTCATCCCCCTGATATCTTCCTGACATGAGACCACAGGCTGAGAACTGGGCGATGAGGACCTCTCCCAAAGGGTGGGCCAGCTCCCTGGCCATGGGCCTAAGGGGCAACAGAACACCCTTCTTCTTCTCTCATCCACCACGATGACTTGTCCTGGGGCTGAGGCCTGCTGGCATGGGGTGGGGGGCTCTGCCTGAGGGAAGGAGGACTGTCTTTGAGGCAATCACAGCAAAAGGAGGCGAGGTGTGGGCACTGCTGTTATTTCTAACCTGCTGAAGCTAACGGAACCCTGACGGTACTTGAAAAGCAGCTGATTGTCAGGGGCGGAACCCATCTCAGGAGCTGTCAAGGCTGTCATGCCTGGCAGGGGGCGGCGACAGGGGCTTGGGCTGACAGGGCTGTGATTTTGAAAGAAACATCTTTAAGAAAGTGACTTAAAGTAGGAGGGAAATATTATTATTAGATAATGGCTGTCAGGTTATTTTTTGATGTGTTCTCTGGGTATTTCATAACCGTCTTGTCCCTAGATGGTAAGGCCTTCCTGGCCAGGGGCCAAGCCTCATGCCCCTGTGGGTTTCACCTTAGCACCAAGCATGCAACAGGCATCAGGAGGTGTGAGCCATTTGGGCCAATGGTCACTTCAGTGGGAGGCTTTATAAATAACCTACTTGCCTTTGTTAATAAACCACAAACCGGGATGAGCGCTTGGGCCTTTGGTCTGGACACTTGGGCCCTTGCCAAGCCCACTCGGCACTGAGCATGGAACCGTCCCCTGTGCCCTGGCAGGAACAGCAGCAGGACAGAGTGGTGGGGAGCACGGAAGACTTGCAGTCCTTGGTGGTGAAGGGCCATAGGACCCCCTGTCCTGCTGTCAGTCCTGGCCTCTCCACCCAGCCATTTCCTGAGCCTGGTTTTCAACAGCCCCTGTCTTATCACAGCCTGCCCCACCTGCCAGGTTCAGCTGATTCTAGACCAGACATTTTTGGGAATTCATTCCCTCACTTCTGTGCTGGTTGCTGAAACTTTAATCCCCACCCTTATTTCAGCAACTAAAACATCAGTTCCTGACTAGTGGCCCAGCCTCCTCCATCCCCCACCCTGCTCCCTCCCTTGACTAGATCTGACCAGTGTCACCTACCTGCCGAAATTTCCCCCAAGATCATTAGGTTAAGTCCACAACAGTGTGCTGTCTGTTCCCAGCAGTCCCAGGCCCTCGCCCTCCTCCAGGCCTTACTCCACCTCCCTACTCTTGTGCCTGGCGTTAGACCACTCTGTCTGCCTTCTTGCCAGGATACATGATCTCTTCCCTACCTGACGCATGACCCTGGGATTGGGGAATGTTTAATTCAGCACGCCTCATGCAGATTGTCTCTCCTCTTCTTTCCTGCCCATTTAGGAAGCTCAGCCTGCCCAACAGGGCTTTCGAATTGGCCTCTGAAGGGGACTTTGAGCTGCAGGGATATGCCTTCGAGGCTGCAAAGGAGCAGCTGAGAGGACCTCGGACAGTGCGTGTGGGACTTGTGCAGAACAAAATCCCCCTGCCCGCGGATGCACCTGTGGCCAAACAGGTGTGACTGCTTTTGACTATAAATATGTAAACGGGCTGTGGCCTGCTCTATGTTTTGAACACATCCACAGTCCCCTGCTGGCTGCTTGGTCTGGGTCAGCAGGTACATCTACTGATCAAATGGTCGCCCAGACACTTCTGGCCTGGCCGCACTTCTTCCCTCTGACCTGTGTCTCTGGTTCTTTTTTTTTTTCTGACTCCTACCCTTTCTCTGCCTTCCTCTCACTCCTCACTTCTTTACACCTACCCCTCTGCTTCCTCTTCTGCAATTGATCTATTGTTCCATTTGCAATGAGATGGTGCCCTTTTGGCTGGCTCATACTCTCTCCATGGAACTCTGCCTCAGTCTCCTGCCAGCACACACCAGTCAGGACCCTGCGGCTCAGTGGTTGAACAACTTTCAGGACCGTCCCTTAGTCCATGTTTCCTCTGCCTTGTCCCTCAGGGCAGGACCCACTACACCCAGATGTCTGTCAGCTGATGGGGCCTGTAGGGTTGCAGGAATGTGATAGGCATTTGTTTATGACCTTCCGATTAGTGTCAATGTGACATCACCTTGTGTTTCCCTAAAGAAACTTCTTGTCACAGACCAGGCAGTTTGTTGTATACACTTCTTCACAACTTTCCTCCAGCTGCTCCAAGTTTCCAGCTTTCTCTGCCAAAGTGTCCTCTGGAAGCAGCGTGCTTGAGAATTCTTAGGGATTCTCGAAAAGAAGATCAGCTGGATTCCAGGTCTGGTTCTGCATTGTCTTTCACATCGGTCCTACCCCTGCTTTTGTTGGATTAAAAGATTTCTGATTTTTGCCCTGGCTGATTTGGCTCAGAGGTTAGGGTGTCGGCCCACAGTCCAGAGAGACCCAGGTTCGGTTCCCGCTAAGGGCACGTACCTCGGTTTGGCCAGTTTGTCCCTGGCCCCAGTTGGGGTTGTGCGGGAGGCAGCCACTCAATGTGTTGCTTTCACGTCGATGTTTCTCTCTGCCTCTCTTCCTCTCTCTCCCTCCCACTCTATCTAAAACAAAAATAGAAAAATGTCCTTGGGTGAAGAAAAAAATAAAAAGATTTCTGATTTTCAGATTAGTTGATTGTGAACATGTCTCCTGGACCGTCCCAGGTTGTCAGGTCGGCAGGGGCAGGGGGGCTGTTCCCATCCCCACAGCACCTAGAAGCACACTTTGTACACTGTCCGCCCCAGCAAACATCCATGGAGCCTTGGTGTGTGGTCTTGCATGGGAGAGAAAGAACACTGTAGAGTTTGTGCTCTCTGGGTTTTCAGCCTGGCTCCCTGGTATTTCTTTGAACAAACACTTCTGAATGTCTCCTGGGAGCCAGCCATGGAGCTGAGGACACAGAGGATGAGGACACTTTCCTCTTGCCCCTAACGAGCTCTTGGGGTCATGGGAGTGGCAGGCAGCGGAGGAATGCGACAGCACAATTCCCACTGTAGGGCCACATGTAGGCTGCGGAGCGTAGAGGTACCTCAATATTCCTGGGAAAGTCTCCTCTCTGGGTGACATGCGGCATGGATAACATATCCAAGGAGGATCGGTGGGGAAGGAAGCACATTCCTGGTCAAGGGCACAGCTGAGAAAGGCAAGTCGTCCAGTGATGAGATACACACAGAAAAATAGAGGGGGCTAGTCAAGGCATCCCTGAGGCCTCGAATACAGGACAGTGGGGAGAGGACTGTGTCCTAGGAGAGGGAATAGTTAACCCAGGGGATGGTCTTGGTGTGCGATGGGCCTCCTAGGTGTGTCCCCCCTGCTGTAACCAGCACCCTCATAGCGGTACATCCTCTCAGCAGCCCCCCGAGGCAGGCAGTGTTCTCCCCATTCCCTAGTCAAGGAAACAAGGGTGTGTGGGACTCCAGAGCTTCTGCAGTCCCCTTTTTCATGTAGATTTTGGACCCGATGACAGGATGAGATATCAGAACCTCCCCACCTTGCTCATCGTCTGGCAGCTACTGGGTAGGGTTGTTCCATGTGCGTTGGGATGAGTTCTATAATGGTCTCAACCAATAGAACTAATGCGTTCTAATCCTCAATTTTTTTTTTCATTTCTCGCCTGAGGATATTTTCCATTCATTTTCAGATAGAGTGGAAGAGAGGTAGGGAGGGAAAGAGAGAAAGAGAAACATCATCGTGAGAAGGACACGTCAATTGGTTGCCTCCCGCAGAACCCCATCCAGGGCCAGAGATCCAACTGCAACCTAGGTACATGCCCTTGACCGGAATTGAACCCGTGACTCTTTGGTCTGCGGGCGATGCTCTAACCGCTGAACCAAACCGGACAGGGCTAACCCTCAATTTTTATTTATTTATTTTGGTAGAGAATTTTTACAAGTGTTTTGAGCCAACCTGACAGCATCGTCAGGAAGCAAACTCTCAAATCTTGCTGCAGGGAATAATAGTTTTGTGGTTTATTTTACACATTGAAATTAAAGGGAATGTAAGGGAGGTGACTTAAAGGTGGGAGACAAAAGGCAGGGGTGGGATTACAGGATAGTTCACAAGGTTGCATGCTGTTTTAGGGTTGTTATGCTTCTGAGGAGTTTGAAAAAGAGTCATTACAAAGGTGTTAACCAAGAGGCACAGAAACAATGGGCAGGGCATAGGGCTTGACGGCAAAGATAACCTTTTACTGAGGAAGTTATAAGGCTGAGGCGTGACTACCCAACATGACCGGCCTGGTTAGGAATTTATGATTTGAAAATCCTGTGAAGTTACTTTCCGTAGAGCCCCCTTTTTGGCCTCAATTCCCCCTTTTGGTCATAAATCAATCTGAAGACATTGATGACCAACTAGTGTGGTCTCATAGTATTAGGGAATCTCATTCCTAGGAAGTCTCAGTATCAACATCCACTTGTTGACCTTTGGGGATGGGACAATATTGTAACCATGGGTTGTGAGTTGAGACCGAATTTTCCCAAAACAAAAAGGGTAAGTATGTGAATGGTAGTCAACACTGGATCATTTCTGTCCTGGGAACTATCACAATCCGAGTTCTGCTGTGTCTCATTTTCTGTATTTGGCATCTAATATAACATTTACATAAACCATAAAAAGTATTAACGGTTATACATGTTCAGTAATCATAAACAGTTGGACTATATAGGAAAACCCATAGAACAAATATAAATATTATTATGGCTATTATTGTTAGCAGACAGGTAAAGACAATCAAACAAAACCGTTTCTGAGTTCAACATTGATCCATAGGTATACAGGTCTTATCAGTGTCTTGGGATAGCTGTCTACCTCTGATGTCAACAGCTTCTCATCCTAGGGATCTTTGATATCCCTTGTAGGCAGAGGCAAAGGTGGGTGTCTATTCATGGTTAGGTGCCTGACAAGATACCTTCCAAAGAGGTTGGAGAGTGTCTTTATTTGATGTCCTTTCCAAGTTCACCCAATTTGAAGCAGGGAGCCAGTGGGGCATAAGGAGCCCATGCCGGTACCTAGCACCAGGTCTGGGTCTGCGGTGTTGTCCTGGGTAGGCTTCTTCAAAATCCTTCCAGCAAATGTCGAAGTAAGAAACGTCCAAATTTGTAGAGAATTTTTATGAGTTTATTTGAGCCAAACTGATGATATTGCTAGGAAGCAAGATCTCAGATGCTCCCCTAATCCTTGATTTTTAAATTGCCAGGTCTCTGCCCTTCACAGACGCATAGAGGCCATCGCAGAGGTGGCTGCATTGTGCGGAGTCAATATCATTTGTTTCCAGGAAGCATGGAGTAAGTCTCTCTCGGGTGCTTTCTCTGCTACCCTCACACAATACTGTGTTATCTCCATGTTGTTAAGTGTCTGCTACCTGACTTTTTAAAAATCTCCTTTCTCTACTCATCTATAGAAAGTTTCTTTGTCAACACCAGAAACCCAGGAACCCCAGCCCCTCTCCCTCTCATACATCCTTCTGTCATCTGGTCTTATCAGTCTTCCTCCCAAATCATTCTGAATCCTTTTCACTTCTTCCTCCCACCTCCCCACCTCCTTACCACTGCCCAGGCCCAAGGCACCAAAAACTCTCACAGTGACTTCTGTAATCACCTTCAGCTGGTCTTGTGCCCTCTACTCTGGCCCCTTCTAACTGGCTCTCCACACCTTCTGAGAAAGATCTTTTCAAAACACTGCATAGTCTTTCTTCTCCCGCTCTGCAGCCTCCTCGCTGCTGGGCCCTGCCCTGACCTTACTGATCTTTCATGTCCTCCTTCCAGGCCGGTACACCCACTGTTCCCTCCTCTTGTCTCATTAACCCTGCCCAACCTTCAGCGCTCAGCTCAGAACCCACCTCCTTATCTAAAGTTGTGTCCCTGTTATATACCCATAGTACTGTGGACCTTTTCTTTATCTCATTTATATTTTTATCAAAGTCAATCATGTTCATAGTTTAGAGTCAAATGGATCTATAAGGTCTATTACCAAAAAACAGCTGCCTTTTCATCAGAGGCATCTACTTTCAACTCTTAGCTGGTTCCTTTGGAATTTACCTTTGTTTGTGTTGCTGCTTCCTAATCTTTCAGGTTTGCATTATCTTTTGACTTCTCACTATGGAAGAAGACAGTATTAGTCTTTTCCCTCCTTCTGCCTCCTCAACACTTGACACACATGGACCCTTCCTAGTCTATGCCCCTTCCATTCTCTGCCAAGCCATTTTGTGAACCTTGAGTTCTCCCTGGAGTTTGCTTTGTTTTCTGCATACTTACCACAAATTCTACCCCAACTTTTGGCCAGTTTCCTAAATCCCCTTAAGAGGTTTAAGCACATAAAGCTGTCTGTTGGTTTCATCTTCTTGAAGGAATGTGTCCCACAGCCTTTTGACTGTTCAGGTCTGAACTGGTTGTCCCCTCTGCTAGCTGCATAGGGATTTCCCATCACCATTGTCCTGGGGAGTCCCTTTGCCTTGCTCTTATGTTTTCCCATCCCACATCTTTCTTTTTCTTGGTTTACTCCCTCCTTGAGGTTGAGTAGAGTTGACCCTTGAATAAACTGGATTTGAACTGTGCAGATTCACTTATACATACATTTTTTTCACCTTCTAAACAGCCTAAACTTACAGTGTCACTAAATACAGTACAGTACTATAAATATATTTTCACTTCCTTCTCTTTTCTTAATAACATTTTCTTTTCTCTAGCTTATTTTATTCAAAAAATACAGTATATAATACATATAGCATACAAAATATGTGTTAATTGACTGTTTATATTATTGATAAGGCTTCTGGTCAACAATAGGCTATTGGTTAAGTTTTGGGGACGTCAAAAGTTATATGCAGATTTTTAACTGCTCGAGGGGTTGGTACCCCAACCCCTGTGTTTTCAGGGTCAACTGTAGTTCTATGAAAAAGAACATATAGGAGGTAACCTTTTGAGGACCTTGCATATCTGAAAATATTTTCCTCCTACAACTTAGTTGCTAGTTTGATTGGGTATAGAATTCTAGGTTAGAAATAATTTTCCTTCAGAAGTTGAAACACCTTGCTCCATTGTCTTCTGGCTTCAAGTGTTTTTCTCTGAAAGGTTGTAGGAGCTTCTCTTTTTCTCTAATACTTTGAAATTTCATAATGATGTGCCATTGTGTGCTATTTTAATCCGTTATTCTAAGCACTCCAGGGGTTCGTTCAGTCTAGAAATTTGGGTCCTTCAGATCTAGGAAATATTCTTATATTATTTTATTGTGATTTTTCTCCCCTCTTTTTTTCTCTTCTTTCTTCCTGACAGCCTGCTATTAGGATGTTGGAACCCTGGACTAAATCCCTAATTTTTTTTAATATATATATTTTTTCCTATTTACATCTCTGTCTTTTTTCTTACTTTTCTGGTAGATTTTATCTAATCTGTCATTCTGCCTTCTATTCAGTCTTTGGTTTCTGCTGTCATATTTTGAACTTATTAGAGTTCTTTTGGTCTGAAAGTTTCTGTTTTTATCACATCCTGTTTTTATTTTATAATTGCAATATCTTCTCTTATCTCTGAAGATATTAAGTAATATATTTTTCCTTCCTACATACTCCAACTGGAGCATACTCTGACTCTCTAACCACTTGATTGATTATATTTTAAGAATTGAGGTTAAAAAGCTGATTGTAATCTCTGAGTTTGTGGGAAGGGTCTCTCCACTGAGTTTCATGATAGGGTGACCCAGTTTAGCTATTTGTTATGTAATCCCCCATGGTACTGTCTTTAGGTCATTTTTTTCAGACTGGTCAGATGCTCCAGAGAAGATTTTTCTAATCTCCTGCCAAGAAAAGAAAGAGAACAGGGATCCAGAATGCTGATGTTTACTTAATCCCTCTGTTTTGGACACTACTTGCCTTTATCTGTCCTGGTTTCCCCAAGGCCAGAGACCCTCTGTTTAACTGTCTCTGGAGAATGAGCCTGTAGCCTTCTGCTGGGGTGGGAGAGGCACACCTCAGCCTCTTATAGTAGAGAAAGGATCTGGGTGTCTAACTGCTCCTTAAACAGACTTTCATCCTGTCCTTCTTGTTTGTCACCCCTTCCTACTTCCCTGCCTTCAGAGCTACATGGCACCTCTGGCTCCTGAGCTTTCGAGGGGTCTGTGGTGAAGAGGAGGGTACTCCCATGCCTCCTCCACTGCTGGGGGAACAGGGAGCTCGGTTTTCCCAGACCTCTAAGATGTTAACATGCATCCCTGGCTCTGCAGCCTCCAATGTGCTGCTGCTGTTGTCCCAGTCAGTGCCCCATCCTTGATGCTTTTCACCTTCACATAAAACCCCTTTATTGACAGTAGCTGGTGTTTCAGGAAAGAGCAAAGATGTGAGTCCAGTCCGCCATCTGTACCCAGAAGTTTATCTCATTTTTCACACCTCTTGTTATACATCACTTTTGATTTGTCTGCCTTTTCCATTACACCGTAAGCTCCATGAGGCCAGTCTGGGGGGTGGTCGTTCATTTTCCCTATCCCAATTTTTTTTTATCCTCACCCGAGGACCTTTTTGTTTTTTTGCATTTATCTTCAGATAGAGTGGGAGGGAGAAAGGGAGGAAGAGAGAGAGAGAAACATAGATGTGAGAGAGACACATCAAGTGGCTGCCACCCACATGACCCCAACTGGAGCTGGGGACAAACTGCAACCGAGGTATGTGCCCTTAGTGGGAACCAAACCCGGCACTCTCTGATCCACGGGCTGATGCTCTAACTGCTGAGCCAAACTGGCGAGGGCCCATCCTAATTTTTTAAGATTAAAAACATTTAGTCTAGCAGGTGTGGCTCAGTGGTTGAGCATCGACCCATGCAGCAAAAGGTCACCAGTTCAATTCCTGGTCAGGGCACATGCCCCAGTTGTGGGCCAAATCCCTAGTGGGGAGCATGCAGGAGGCGGCCAATTGATGTTCTCTCTCATCAATGTTTCTGTCTGTCCCTCTCACTTTCTGTCTATCTAAAGTCAATAAAAGAAAAAAATTTTAAGAAAAAACATTTAATTGTGCCTTGGCAGTTTTGCTCAGCGGTTAGAGCATCAGCCCTCAGATTGAAGGGTCACAGATTCAATTCCAGTCAAGGGCATGTACCTGGGTTGCAGGTGCAATCCCTGGCCCCAGTTGGGGTTGTGCAGGAAGCAACCAATCGACGTGTCTCTCTCACATGGATGTTTCTCTATCTCTCTTTCCCTCCCCCCCTTTCACTCTATCTAAAAAAAATCAGTGGAAAAATATTCTTGGTGAGGATTAACAACAACAAATTTTAATGTTAAAATTATGTAACAATTTATGATAAAATCTATGTAACATAAAATTTATTACTTTAACCATTGGTAAGTAAACAATTCAGTGAAATTAAATACATTCACAGAGTTGTGTGACCATCACCACTATCTATACCCATAACTTTTTCATTGTCTACACCAAAACTCTGTACTCATTTAACAGTAACTCTCCCTCTTCCCTCGCCCCTGATAACCTCTAATCTAACGGTTCTCAACCTGTGGGTCGCAACCCCTTTGGGAGTTGAACGACCCTTTCACAGGGATCGCCTAAGACCATCGGAAAACACATATTTCCGATGGTCTTAGGAACCGAGACACCGCTCCTCTATCTGTCTCCAGGCGGGTCCGCCCACATGCAGATACGCCTACATACAACATGAAGAACTATATTATCCTCTCCCGAGGACATTTTTGATATTTTGTTCAGATAGAGTGAGAGGGAGAGAGAGAGAGAGAAACATCGACGTGAGAGCAACACATCGAGTGGTTGCCACCCACACGACCCAACCAGGGCTGGGGACAAACTGCAACCAAGGTATGTGCCCTTAGCGGAAACCGAACCCGGGTCTCTCCGGACCACAGGCCAACGCTCTAACCGCTGAGCCAAACCGGCCAGGGCTGAAGAACTATATTAAACGGTCGCGGCATTAGGAAGGTTGAGAACCACTGCTCTATTCTGTTTTCTCTCCCTATGAATTTACTACTCTAGGTACAACATATAAGTGGAATTATACAGTATTTGTCCTTTTGTGACTGGCTTAGTTCATTTAGCGTAATGTTTTCAAGGCCCATCCATGTTGTTTCATATGTCAGAATTTTTTTTAATCCTCACCCAAAGATATGTTTTTATTGATTTTTAGAGAGGGAAGGGGGGAGAGAGAGAGAGAGAAACATTGATGTGAGAGAAACATCAATCAGTTTCCTCCCATATGTGCCCCAACCAAGGATTGAACTTGAAACCTAAGTATGTGCCCTGACCAGGAATTGAACCCGCAGCCTTTTGGTTCATGGGTCGACGCTCCGACTAACTGAGATACCCAGCCAGGGCAGCTGCATATTTTATTGAATGATATACCACATTTTGTTTATTTATTTCCCCCACCCTGTTTTTTCTTTAGTAGCTTGAACAATCCCTGACATGACAGCCACTAAAAAATACTTATTGGATGGTTTAACCAACTTCTTCCCTTTGTTGGATCAGGAAAACTCCCACTCATTCATCAAGGCCTAGCAAAGACACCCACTCTGTTGAGGGGCCCTGGGGACTTCCCTGCGCAGAGCGGGGCATTGTGTGGTGGCGTGCAGCCGCCAGCTGATAGTTCAGCTCCTCTGGCTGGGCTGGCAGCTCCTGAGGGCAGAGACAGGTTTAGGGTTACAGCCTGGCTCTGGGAATGTTGATTCAATGAACGGGGAACCCCCTTCCCCTCTAATATAAAACTGTAGTTGGGACTTGGCAACCAGCCTCCCCCAACCTCCATTTCACATCCCTCTTTTGAAAGTTTGTTTACATTACAGTGGTTGTGTAAACAGGACAAGGAGCCATTAAAATGGAGAAAATGGAAATGGAGAAGTTTGGAGAGTTTATCAATCTGAAATGAAATTGGAAAGGGAGGTTTTATTCTCTTGGGGCATTTGAGTCTCTCCTAATGCTCTGAAAGCTGAGAATGAATGGTCATTAAGGATGTATTTGTTATCAACAGCTTTTTTGTTGGCTTCCTTAAGGCAGTTTATCTCTCTTCGCTGAAGAGAAGCCCGTGGAGTCTTGAGCCTGGTGCCAAGTCCCCCTGGGCTGTTGCTGGCAGAGCATGGTGCCCACTTAGGTACCTCCATGGGCCACTACCCCTGGCGGTTGAGGTGGTCGTAGTGCCATTGTGGCCTCTTCACACTGACACCATCTTCCTGGGTGGTGGGACTGGAAGGAATTGTGAGATTAATGATTCTCTTCTTTCTCTGTGAAGTGAGGAGACTAACACCTACTTTGCAGGAGTATCTGGGATGAGCTGCCTATTATTAGGCATGGCACTGTGCTGGGCACATGGCCTGTGTTTGGGAAAGGTTGACTACAGTTATTATCCCCAAACAGGTTGCAACCAATCAACGCACAGGCCAGTCACAGCATATAGCTTCCAGTAAACTTCCCCACAGGAGGCCAGCAAGCACCCCAAAACTTTTTTCATCTCCCTGAAAGAAATGAACTTGGGTTCTTAGGAGGGGGAAGATCGAAAGACTGTACGGAATTGGTCCAAACAAAGAATTTAATTCTTCAAGAAGAAAAAGATAAACAGCTTGGTAGGAAATGGGCAAAGGGTATGAACAAGGTGGCCTAGAGGACAAATCCAGAAGGCCAGTGACCACATGGATGTTCACACCATTGGACTAGAATAGACCCAGAAACCTCCTGGTGCATGGGATGATGCCCACCAACGGAGCCACAGTGGCCAGGGCTTCTAGGAGCCTTGACTGTGCTCTTACCAACCTGCAGATTGGCCAGCAGCTTGGGATCTGCTGGTTGGGAAGAGTTTGGGGACATACCTTTTACAAAAGTTTATAAATATACATATATGTGGCAAAATATACACATACACATACATAATGTAGTGGTGAAATAGACATAACATTTACTATTTTAGCTATTTTAAGTGTACAGTTCTGTGGCATTATGTATGTTTCCACTGTTGTGCAACCATCACCATCATCTGTCTTCAGAACTTCTTCATCTTCCCAAACTGACACGATGTCCCCCATTAAAGCACAATTCCCATTCACCCCTCCCTCTAATCCCTGGCATCCAGTATTCTACTTTCTGTCTCTGTGAGTTTGCCTATTCTAGGGACCTCCTATAATACGTGGAATCATATAACATTTGTCCTTTTGTGACTGTCTTCTTTCATTTAGTGTAATGTCCTCAAGGTTCATCCATGTTGTAACATGTGCTGGAATGTCCTGCCTTTTTTTTTTTTAATTTTTTTTTTACCCTCACCCGAGGACATTTTTTTCCATTTTTTGTTCAGATAGAGGGGGAGGGAGACAGAGGAAGAGAGAGAGAGAGAGAGAGAGAGAGAAACATCGACGTGAAAGGGACACATCGAGTGGCTGCCATCTGCATGACCAACCAGGGCCGGGGACAAACCGCAACCGAGGTACGCACCCTTAGCGGGAACCGAACCCGCGTGTCTCTGGACCGCAGGTCGATGCTCTAACTGCTGACCCAAACTGACCAGGGCTGTCCTGCCTTTTTAAGGTTCAATAATACTCTACTGTATGCCCCTGGCTAGGTAGCTCAGTTTATTAGAGCATCACTCTCATACACCAAGGTTTTGGACTCAATCCCCAGTCAAGGCATATACAAGAATCAACCAATGAATGCATAAATTAGTGGAACAACAAATCAATGTTTCTCTCTCTCCATTCCTCTCTTTCTAAAGTCAATAACAATTTTTTAAAATATATATCCTGTTGTACGTATGTTTATTCATCCATCAATGGACACTTGGGTTACTTCCATCTTTGAGCTCTTGTGTATAATGCTGCTATGAACATGGGTGTGCAAATATCTGTTCAAGTCTGTGCTGCAATCAATCATTTTTAAGACTCTAGGTAAGGCATTTCGCCTAGCTCCTTGTTTTGCTATGAATCCCAAAAGGTTAGGGTCTAGCCCTGGCCGATTTGGGTCAGCGGTTAGAGTGTCGGCCCGCAGACCAGAGAGTCCCGGGTTCGGTTCCCACTAAGGTCACGTACCTCGGTTGCAGTTTGTCCCCAGCCCAGGTTGGGGTCGTGTGGGTGGCAGCCACTCAATGTGTCTCTCTCACATTGATGTTTCTCTCTCTCTCTCTCTCTTTTCTCCCCTCTCTATCTGAAGATAAATGCAAAAATATCCTCGGGTGAGGATAAAAAAAAAGGTTAGGGTCTGTTCTTTTTCCACAGCCAGGGATGAGACTTGGATACCAGGCCGAGGACATCCTCTCAGAGGCCATGAGCGTTGCATATGATTCTGACCTCTCTTCTCTTCACAGCTATGCCCTTTGCTTTCTGTACAAGAGAGAAGCTTCCGTGGACAGAATTTGCTGAGTCAGCAGAGGACGGGCCCACCACCAGATTCTGTCAGAAGGTAGGAGGTTAACTGCTCCTCTGGCAGCAGCTGCCAGACATGTGCAGGTCACAGCGCGAGGCCACAGCTGCTGGGTGTGGCCCTCACCATGGCAAATGCACCTGCTTGGTGCTTGTTTTGCCAGATGAGATTAGATAAGACTATTTACTGCCCTTTTTTAGTGCACTTTCCCTTAAAATCATAGATTTTCAGAGCCAGAGGGGCCCTTAATGGCTTTTTCAGGTAAGGGAGCTTTAGCCAGGAAAGGGTGGCCTGGATGACCCCATAGTAGGTTCTGTATTGGCAAGTGGCAGAGCTGGGACTCGGGGACCAGGGATGAAGTGGATTTCTTGCCCAGAGCTCTGCTCCTCCACCTGCTGTTTGCCTGACTTATGTAAACTTCTCAGCATGGCCTGTCTTCATCAGCGTAGAAATTGGTTTTCGTTTTTCTTTATTAAAACCTCATAATACATGTTGTATGATCTCATTTTTATGAAATGTCCAGAATAAGCAAATGCATAGAGGCAGAAAGCAGATTAGTGGTTGCCAGGGGCTGGACAGGACCAGGGGGGAGTGACTGCTAATGGTTATGAGGTTTCCATTTGAGGTGATGAAAATGGTCTAAAATTAGATTGTGGTGATGGTTGCACACTCTGTGAATGTACTGGAGACCACGGAGTGGCATGTTTTAAAAGAATGAATTTTATACTATGCTTAATAAAACTGTTATCATAAAAACCCTTAACATTCAGAGAGGTTACAGATAGTAACTTATCCTTATTCTCACCTCAAACAAAAAAACTTTCATTTCTCCATTTTTCATTTCAGAGTTTATACATATTTTTAGGGGTTTTCTGAGTAGGACTGTAATCATGGTGATTCTGTCAATACTTATTTGTGACTTCCCACATCAGTGTTATCAGGCTTTTGTGGGGAAAGTCTCATCCACCAGGTTGTTGATTCTGTTCTATGAAAAGAGGGAGGGGGCTGGTTAGGAGGCAATAGTCAATGATACACCTGAACCAGGGATGGAGGAAGAGAAGAGGAAGAGTGGGAATGAGAAATGGTACCAGGGAACACCTGTCTGCATAGGGAGGGGCCTAGGGACTCATGGCCACTGTCTTAAGGCTCAGAGCCCCGTCTTCCACCCATGCCTTTCCCTCTCTCCTGTCATTAAGGCCAGAGGTAATGACAGGCTAGTTAGAGTTGAAGACAAATATCTGGCTAGGGCTGCTGTTCATCCTGCTGGTCAACAGGTCCTGATGCTCTTATTTGAGACAAATGAATTCAGTTTCAGAGAACTTTTATATATACATGAGAAGTATGATTCTTTTTCTTTTCTTTTTTTATCATATTAAAAAACACATAGCATAAAATTTGCCATCTTAATCATGTTTAAGTATACAGTTCAATATACACATTCACCATGTTGTAAAACAAATCTCCAGAACTTTTTCATTTTGTACACCTGAAACTTGATTCCCATTAAACAACTCCCCTCCACCCCAGCCGCTGGTATCAAAGGTTTCACTTTCTATTTCTGAGTTTGACGACTTTGGATACTGCACATATGTGGACTCATACAGTACATATTTGTCCTTTTGTGACTGGCTTATTTCACTTAGCATAACGTCCTCAAGGTTTATCCACATTGTAACACAGGTCAGTTTCCTTCCAATAATATTCCATCGTGGGAACATATCCATTCACCCACAGGTGGACATTTGGGTTGCTTCTACCTTTTGGCTATTATGAGTAATGCTGCTATGAACACAGTGGTGTACAGATACCTCTTCAAGACCCTACTTTTAGTTCTTTGGGTACATACCCAGAAGTGGCATTGCTGGATCATCTGATAATTCTGTTTTTAATTTTTGAGGACCTACCATACCATTTTCACAAGGGCTACACCATTTTGCATTCCTACCAGTAGTGCCCAAGGACAGTGATTATTCTTATTTCTCTGAGCTTGGCCATGAGGACAGCACTGGCATTTAGTCGTCCAAACAACAAGCGGTGGCTCTGAACCAAGACTGGTTATTTAGAATTCAATAAAAACCTATGGCAATTGATTCCAAAGCAGGACTGCGCTACATTTCTCATTTTTCCAGCTGGCAAAGAAGCATGACATGGTGGTGGTGTCCCCGATCCTGGAACGAGACGGAGAGCATGGGGACGTTTTGTGGAACACAGCTGTAGTGATCTCCAATTCGGGAAAGGTCCTGGGCAAGACCAGGAAAAACCACATCCCCAGAGTGGGTGATTTCAATGAGGTAAGCTGCCCCTCAGAGGCCAGCCCTGCTTGCTCACTTTTCCATGCACAGATTTCACTGGGTCTTTCTGTGGAGGGAGTTCTGTGTCGGGTCATGTCACATCAGGCGATGCTGGAACACAGTGGGGCTGCAGGGCTCAGGGGCCTCCCCACATAGCCCTGCATCACATGAGTGGATAGGATTTCAGGGGGGATGTTCCTCATTTTTCCCCCATTGACCCCCTCCACCCCACTCCTGCGCCCCTCCTGTCTTTCCCCACACTGTTGTCTGTGTCCATTGGTTATGCATATATGCATATAAGTTTTTTGGTTTATTTCTTCCCACCCCCAGCCCCCTTCCCTTTGAGGTTTATCAGTCTAGCAACCAATATGTACTTCATAGTCCCTTCACCTTTTTCACCCATTCCCCCAACCCCCCTCCCATCTGGCAACCAACAAAATGTTCTCTGTATCTATGAGAATGTTTCTGTTCATTTTGTTTGTAGATTCAATTGTCAGTAGATATGTATTCATTGCCATTTTGTTTGTTCGTATTTTTTATCTTTTTCTTTAAAAAGACCCCTCAACATTTCATATAATAATGGTTTGGTGGTGATGAACTCCTTTAACTTTTTCTTGTCTGGGAAAGTCTTTATATGGCCATCGATTCTAAATAACAGCTTTTCAGGATAGAGAAATCTTGGTAGTGGGTTCTTGCTTTTCATCAATCTGAATATTTCTTGCCACTCCCTTCTGGCCTGCAAAGTTTCTTTTGAGAAATCAGCTGATAGTCTTATGGGAACTCCCTTATAGGTAACTAACTGCTTTTCTCTTGCTGCTTTTAAGATTTTCTCTTTGTCTTGAACCTTTTGCATTTTGAAGATGATGTGTCTTGGTGTGGACCTCTTGGGGTTCATCTTATTTGGGACTCTCTGTGCTTTCTGGACTTGTATGTCTGTTTCCTTCACCAACTCAGGGAAGTTTTCTGCCGTTATTTTTTTTTTTTATCCTCACCTGAGGACATTTTTCCATTTTTTGTACAGATAGAGTGGGAGGGAGAGAGAGGAAGAGAGAGAGAGGGAAACATCGATGTGAAAGGAACACATTGAGTGGCTGCCACCCGCACGACCAACCAGGGCCGGGGACAAACTGCAACCGAGGTACGTGCCCTTAGCGGGAACCGAACCCAGGTCTCTCCGGACCACAGGCGGACGCTCTAACCGCTGAGCCAAACCGTCCAGGGCTCTGCCGTTATTTTTTCAAATAGGTTTTCGATTTCTTGTTCTCTTTCTTCTCCTTCTGGCACCCCCAAGATGCAAATGTTGGCATGCTTGAAATTGTCCAAGAGGCTCCTTACACTCTCCTCATTTTTTTGGATTCTTTTTTCTTTTTGCTGTTCTGATTGGGTGTTTTTTGCTTCCTTATATTCCAAATCGATGGTTTGCTTCTTGGCTTTACCTACTCTACTATTGAATCTGTGTAAATTATTTTTTATTTTAGTTAGTGCCTCCTTCATTTCTGACTGGTCCTTTTTTATGCCCTTGAGGCCCTCACTAAGTTCGCTGAGGTTCTCACTAAGTGCAATGGGCATCCTCATAAGCAGTGTTTTGAACTCAGCATCTGTTAGGTTGCTTATCTCCATTTCGCTTAGTTCTTTTCCTGGGGTTTTGTTCTGTTCTTTCATTTGGGACCTGTTTCTTTGTCTCCTCATTTTGGCTGCCTCCCTGTGTTTGTTTCTATGTATTACTTAACGAGAGGTATGGGGCTAGCTGAGACCAGATGCTGCTTGTTTGAAAGACTTTAGGAAAACCTGAAGCAGGATCCAAGACAGGCCAATCCTTTGGTTAAGCAACTGGCAACAGCTTGGGTGGGCCTGAAAGTTGGGTGGGGCAGGGCCTCAGGGAATCACCAGGGCGGGGCAACCAGTATGAGCCAGGTTGCTGGAGTCCCAGATATGGTGGCTGTCTGCTGCCTCAGGGAAGGGCTCACCAAAGGAACAAAGGCCTCTGACAGCATGTTTGTCCCAGAAAAAGCCCCCTCTCCAACCCTCGCTCCAGTGCCAAACAGCTCAGTTCTTCCCTGTATGTCTCTGGTGCCCCTCGAGGTTCCTCCCCTCTAAGCTTAGAGAGAGTGAGTCCGATAAGTCCATGTGCAGGCCCTTTAAGAGGAGCTTCCTGGGGCTGCAGCCATCTCAGCCTCCCTGAGCCTCAGTTCCCGCTGGTTTTTCCAGCCAGAAGTTATGGGGACTTTTCTTCCTGGCACTGGAACCCTGAATGGGGTGCCTGGTGTGGAGGGGGACCCCTCAGTCCTCAGGGAGGACCTTCCCAGCCGAGGTATCCTCCTGATTTTTATCCGCCACACTTGGATGTGGGACCAGCCCATCTGCCTCCACCCCTCCTACCAGTCTCGATGTGGCTGCTTCTTTAATTCCGTAGTTGTAGGACTTCCATTCAGCGTGATTTCAGGCGGTTTTGAATGATGGTTGTTCAGTAGTTTAGCTGTAACTTTGTTGTCGGTTTCTTATTTTTTAAATATTACCTGATTTGGCGTCCTGAAATTCTTCTTTGAAGTAAGTAGTATATAAATTAAACCAAAATAAATGATGCACGAATGTGAAGTAATTCCTGCGGCCCCTGTCAGGCTCTGAGCTCCTTGCCTTTCACAATCTAGTCCTGGTTTGGAGGGCAGGGTTTTGTCTGTGGCTCACATGGGATCTTAGTCAGCCATTTGCACGTGTTGGGTGACACTGGGTGAATGTGTGTGTCTGTGCACATGTGTCAGGTGGGGCTTCATGCCCATGATCAGGGTCTAAGTCAGGGGAGCTGTTTTGATTGGTTAATGCCGATTTGTGGGTTGGCAGGATAAAGTGGTGGACACTTGAGGGAAATGAACTCCACCTTGCTGCCTAAGGTAGGAAATCTGAACAGCTGTTCAGTGTGTGATGTCTCGCGTCCATCATTACCCTCCCTGATCGTAGGGGTCCAGCCACTCTCAGCTGGTGAGAGATGAGAAAGGATCCGCAGCGCTAGCCGAGGTTCCCCGGGGAGAAAGAAGAACACAGTGTTTCTCAGTAACAACTGGATGCGGGGCAGGAAGATGTGCCCCTTGCCTGTTTACCCTGGGATTAATCTTTAGCTCTCTGAAGATAGCGAAGGGCTTGTCTCAGCGCACTAGGATCTGCTTCGGTGCCCACCACATGTGCACATCCTGGTTGCTGCTTGACCCTGGTGAATTTTGAAATTCATGGGAGGAAGCAAAGTGCTCTGGGAACAGATCTTTTCTGGACCCCAACCTGCCCTCTACCCAACCCCAACAATGCCATCCACGAGAATGTCCCAGGGCCAGCAGCCCAAGGGAGCAAGGGGGAAGGGAGGGATGGCAGGACTGTTTGCCACCGGTCTGCCCTGTAGGGACCTCCTTATCCGGGCAGGATGCCAAGGGATTTTGTGGAGAAGAGCACTCTCAGGGTGCGAGTTCTTGTCACAGACTGGCCTTCATGAGGTGGCAAGTCACAGGCCCACTTGGGCTCCGGTGTTCCCCTGGCAGACGAGGGTTGCTCTCGATGAGTTTCTGGTCCCTTCAGCTCTAACATTCTTTATGGGAACATGTGACACCAAGCAGTCCTCAGCCTTTAGTTGTAGCATGACCAAAACCTAACCCAGGTTTATCCTCGAAACTGGGAAGTTGCTTTGGAGTTTTTTTGATGTGTCACAAAAGAATGTGGGTAAATGCATAAGCTGCGGTGATTTCCCCTTGGGCTGGCTTGTGGTTACTGTGTCTAAGGAGTCTCTGTGTTTTTGTCCTTTTGTTTGTTTTGGAGCATATTGGAACTTTGAACTTAAAGTAGAGTCACACCCAAGAGTGTCGCTTTTGGAGTCCTGGCGCTACTTCATTTTTCTCTGCCATGTCTAAGGAAAGGGAAATCTTATAGGTCAGAGGCGTCACTGTCCGGCCCTTTGTTTTCCAGTCCACGTACTACATGGAGGGAAATCTGGGCCACCCTGTGTTCCAGACACAGTTTGGAAGGATCGCAGTGAACATTTGCTACGGGCGGCACCACCCCCTCAACTGGCTCATGTACAGCGTCAATGGGGCAGAGATCATCTTCAACCCATCAGCCACCATCGGAACACTCAGGTTCCCGCACAGCTGGGATTTGGGAGGGTTCTTGGAGGTGGGCAGGCGCAACCATGAGGGTGTCTTAACAAATCTGAGCCCTGAGATTGTGTGTTGTATATTTAAGAGCTTTTCTGTGAAAAAAAAAAAAACTAAACACCAGAATGTCTGTTGCAATCACCCTAAAGAGCTGCTCTGCTGTGAAATACTGTTCTTTGCTGTGATTCTGACCCTGAGATGATGATAATCCCCCCACTCACCTCTATAATTGTCAGGATTCAAAAAAACTTCTGAAGAGCCAGAGCAGTAGGTCTGTGGCCAGCACAAGCTCCCCTGGCTGCCACAGCCACTGCGCTGGGGGACAAGAGCTGCGGATCCGCTCGCCTCTTGTCTGTATACAGCGGTCAGTGCACGGAGGGCAGACACTTGGACAAAAAGAGTGACTGAGGGAGTCAGAGCTGTGAGGGTCCTTAACAGTCCAGTCAAGTGGCTCTGAGACTTGTTTTTACCCAGCAGAGTGTTTTCTTCTTAACACACCTGGCACATGTTCAGGTATCAGCAGAATCCCAAAATAGGTCAAACTGTTCTGATCAAGGTAGTGGGGCTGGCTTTGGCAGCCTACAGCCCCCAGCTCCGGAGCAGGACCCCCAGGATCCTTCATTTAATAATGACAGGTGAGGCCTGGCCAGTTTGGCTCTGAGGTTAGAGTATTAGCCCACAGACCAAAGAGTTACGGGTTTGATCCCTGGCCCTGGTCGGAGTCCTGTGGGAGGCAGGCAGTCAATGTGTCTCTCTCACATCAATGTTTCTCTCTCTCTTTCTTCCTCCTTCCCTCCCTCCCACTCTATCTAAAAAAAATCAATGGAAAAATATCCTTGAGTGAGGGTTAAAAAATAAGTAAATAAACAACAACAGGTGAGCTGTGATGAGCAGTTTGACTACACTTCTGCTATCTCTCTCCCACAGCTAAGTGTTTTGGTGGTTTCCAGTTTTGCATCATTAACAAGTATCAGAGCTCTAGGGATTGTGTGGAAATATTTTTCTCTCCGGCTCACTTCCTCTAAAGCAGAATGCCTAAATCAGGAAGGCAGGCTTGCACTCTGTTGTCCTGGTTCCCAGTGCCCAGTAGAGTGAAGGCCGGTGTGTGTGTGTGTGTGTGGGGGGTGTCATTGCTTCCTCTGTGGGCACAGCCCGGGGCCTTCTGATGATTAGCTTTGCATTCCCAGCAGCCCACAATGTCACTCTTGTCCTCGTTCTACTAAATTTCAATCACATTTCTTCTAAATGCCAGAATGTGACATTTACTTTACCTTTTTTAAAAACAATTTTATTGATTTATTTGTGAGAGAGAGAGAAGCATTGATTTGTTGTTCCACTTATTTTTTTTTTTAATTTTATTTTTTTATTTTTTTTATCCTCACCCGAGGACATTTTTCCATTTTTTACTCAGATAGAGTGGGAAGGAGAGAGAGGAAGAGAGAGAAACATCAATGTGAAAGGGACACATCGAGTGGCCACCACCCACACGACCCAACCAGGGCCGGGGACAAACTGCAGCCAAGGTACATGCCCTTAGTGGGAACCAAACCCGGGTCTCTGTGGACCGCAGGCTGACGCTCTAACCGCTGAGCCAAACCGGCCAGGGCTGTTGTTCCACTTATTAATGCATTCTTTGGTTGCTTCTTATATGTGCCCTGACTGGAGATCGAACCTGCAACCTTGGGATATTGGGATGCTCTAGCCAACTGAGCTGCATGGGGCCTCCTTCTCAAGAGTGACATCCCTACAGCATTCTGATTTGCACAGCAGGTCCCTTCCAGAGGCAGAACCAAACCCTGTCTGCTACCACAGGTCTGCGCCTGGTCTGTGCACCTGAAGGTTTTGGGCACTGTTGGTCGGAGAAAGCACATCTTGGATCTCCCCTCAGAGAATCATCCCAGGACCTCATGGCAACTTAGCCACTAAGACAGCATCCATTGGCAATTGTGATGATATAGGGTGGTTACTGGTCCTCCAGCCACCTGACCTGAGAAGAACCTCCAGGCCACCCCCTCAAGCAGCTCCCTTCTGCCGGCCATGTGTAAGGCATTCAGCAAGCTCCATCTCCATGCAGGGCCCTAGAAGAACCTGAAGCGGGCACCCTGAGCATCTGGGCTGGCTCTCAGGCTAGGGAAGGCAAAGCTACGGCCTCAGACTCAGAAGGCCAACTCCTTGACCCCACTCCCTATTATTAGCCTAAATTAAGCAAACAGAAACACTTCGATGTAATATGCATGCAGCTGCTTATGTCCTCAGCAGCCTATTAGGCTTATTAAAGTGATCAATTTTCCCTCCTCAGCCAGTAGTCATCTAACTCGTACCTTTCAAGGGTGTCATGAAACTGGTAGTTAAAACACTACCAGGTCTTTTAGAAAGCAATATGTTTCATGGGCTACTAAATTGTTCACACCCTTGCCCTGGCCAGTTTGGCTCAGAGGTTGGAGTGTTGGCCAGCAGACCAAAGAGTTGCAGGTTCGATTCTGGTCAAGGGCACAAACCTTGGTTGCAGTTTGGTCCCCAGCCTGGTCGGGCTTGTATGGGGAGCAACCAGTTGATGTGTCTCTCTCTCAATGTTTCTCTCTCTCTCTCCCTCCCTTCTACCCACTCTGTCTGAAGATAAATGGAAAAGTATTCTTGGGTGAGGACTTAAAAAAAATAAAAATAAAATGTTCACACCATTTGACCAGATAATTTATACTCCTAGAACTTTACTTGAGGAAGTGTCTAAAGGAGGAGGAAAAGATTTCTGGATTTCTGGCAGCTGTTTATAATAAGAGGAAAGCTAGAAGGGAGAGAAATGTCAGGGTTAGGTAAGTTTCAGCCCATCTCGTCCACGGGTTATTGTACAGTTGCTAAAAAGAGTCCTTATGAAGATAATGCAGCATCAGGACAAAAGCACATGAGCAAAATATGATGTCTCCAGGCTGTGATCAGAACTCTGTAAATATTTGTTTGCCAAGGATGATCATGAAGTGTGGAAAAATTGCAACAGATGTTTTATTAGAATGTAGGATTCTGAGCGATTTTCTTAAAATGATAAAGGTTATTTGTAGAGTTGATGGTGAGTGTTTTTAAGTACAATGCTGGGCAAATTCCTGCCAGGTGCACACAAACATTCGCTCCCAGCTTCTGGAACCACCTATCCCCATCTCTCCCCACCCCACATGCTATGGGTTAGCAGGGTGTCCTCCTCTTTTGGGGTCACAGAGTTCTCAGCACACAGTAGAGTTGAAGTGCTTTTTGATGGACTGAGCCATCCTGACAGTTACTCGCAGCCCGTGTGGTTGAAGACACTTGCCATGCATGTGTGTTCATCAGAAAGCCCCTGCCCATCCCCTCGCTGCATTGTCTCCCCCTTCGGATTATTTTTAGGAGTTTGTGTAGCCCCACTGGGAATATGGCAGATGCCCTCTCTGTCCCCATTGGGCTCTCTGTGATTCCTGCACGTGCTGGACTCTCAAGAACCTCCAGCTTCCTGTCCCTCACTTGCTTGGAGAGCCTGAGTTTGTTGCCAGCTGTGGGTTTGAGTCCTACGCAGCACATCCTCCCTGGAGAATTGCAAGGAAGATGTTTTATGGCACTCGCCCTGCAACTGTCTATTTAATTCCTGAAAATGTCATTTAATGGTGTGTTTCTGTAAAAATCCTTTCTTAAAAGTTTTGTCAGCTTGGCTTAGCAGCTGGGGAAAAAAAGCAGCAAAATGAGTCCCCTCAATCAAGCCTGTGATTTTTTTCCCAGACTCGTGAATCCTCCTGAGAATTAGGCTTGTGACAAGCATCCACCCCCTCCACCTACTCCCTGGTTTAAACCAGGTGCATGCTGACAAGAAGGAAGATTCCAGGGCATTTTGCTCCCAGTCACTTAGTATTTCCAAGTGGGCATATGCCTGTCAATCCCAAACCTCAATGATGTTGTTCCTGAGACAAGAGATAATTAGTGACCAGAAGGCCCACTGAATTCCATGGCATGTTTTAGGTGGTGGTTTAGAGAAGGACAAGGTCTCCGGTGGGGCCATGTCCTCCCCTGTGCAGGCGCTGGAATGGGAAAGCACACAGCTCAGCTGTGCCTGGTGGTTGCCTCATTCCTGGGCCTCTGATAGAACCAGGGAGTTCCTGTTTAAACGCAGGGTTCAGAAGAGGAAACCAGAAAAGCACTGGGAAATGGGACCAGCTTAGGGGAGGTGATACCTACTACAGAATCTACCCCTTCCCCATTGCCTATCCTTCAGGTTTCTCTGTTGTCTTGGCCTGGAATCGCTCCCTGTGGACACTGCCTTGAAAGGCAATGCAGCAGGGTAGGCTTGGGGAAGGCAGGTAGAGTCTGCACAGGGCCATGCATGAGGCCCAGCTCCTTTCTGACATTTTCCAGGTGAGGTTCTGCCCAGCCTGGAAAGTGGGCTCTTCACCAACATGGGAGGAGGGAGGAGTGAGAAGTAACAGTTGTGGAATTCTTGCCACACAGCCCCTCTAGAAGCTTCACCTGCATGGTCATTCTGTCTTTACTGTCTGTCTCCCTTTGAGGGAGTTTCAGGAAAGGAAACTGAGGCCCAGGACAAGGATTTGATCTAGGAATGCTTCGGCCTGCAGCAGGCCTTCCCAAAAAGGCTCCTTGGGCTTGCTTATGGGACAAACTGAGGACAAACTGTCCTGCTTGTGAGTTAAGGTCTCCTACAGGCACAATGAGTGTCCCTGGCTGTCCCCACCAAAGGCCAGGAAGGCTGGCAGCTGGGCTTTGGCTCAGGGCCAAGCCTCTATCAAGTCACGCTGGGAAATGTGCAACCTGATTCCTCTCCCTCTTCTCTCACAGTGAGTCCATGTGGCCAATCGAGGCGAGGAACGCAGCCATTGCCAATCACTGCTTCACCTGCGCCATCAACCGCGTGGGTGAGGTAAGTCCCCAAGGCCTCAACTGGGTCATCCAGGTGTGATGAGGGGACAGAGCAATAAGCTGCTGTGAAACCTGCCTGCAAGAGGGGGCCCTGCGTCTCCAGACCAGTGAAGGCCACAGGAAAATGAGCTGCTGTCTGCTGGCCCTGGGGAGGACATGTCACACCTCTTCTCCCTGTTCCCTCTCCGTATGCCTGCCTCGAATCCTCGGGTTCCAGAAGGGGGAAACTGTCTTGGTCTGTTACTTTTACAGATATCACTATGTCTCCTCTATTTTTGTCTTAGCTGAAACCATTTTGAAAGGCTCTCACCCTATTACCACTAAGTATCTGGTTTCATATTTTGGCCCCATGCACTGACTGGTTCTGACTACCAAACACAGTGCATTTATTACATAATAGTATTCCTCATTCTTATCAGATGTCAGACTCAAATTGGAGCGTCTGATCAGTCTGAGATAACCAAGGTTTCTACACTTAATTGGTCTAATTTCTGGCGACATAAAGAAACTTGGTGTCTAAATAGCCTGTTTAATCCATCATAGCTTGAAGTGCAGTTTCCATTAGGCTTTGGGGGGAAATACTGAAAACAGTATGTGGCACCCCCTTGCCGCCTTCACAGACCCCAGGATGGGGTTTTATTACTCCAGCAGGCAAACCCGGCTGCCTTCACAGCCCTGAGAACTGCAGTGTCTCCCAGCAGATTATACTCTCCCCAAAGGCAAAATCCAGGTCTTTACCTTGCTCGTCAAATCCCCGCTGGCTGCCTGGCCTGCATTTTGTGCCCAATGCTGGAGACTCAGCAGGGATATTTAGTAAGTGCTTGTTGATTGCCCAATGAGGAGAGGCCAACCCATCTCACTTGAACTGTTTCTTAGCTAACTCTGCCTGGGCCTGACTGTGGTGAACGTAGTGATGGTGCCACCTATAGGTATCCCTCACCTCGGTTTATTTCACAGGAGTACTTCCCGAATGAGTTTACCTCTGGAGATGGGAAGAAAGGTATGTCCCCTGGATTTGCATGGTGGCTGCAGTTGAGGAGTGGGCCTATCTCCTTCTCAGCTGCCTCCTCTGGGCAGAATCAGCACATCTGGCGTGGGGTGGGGGATGGGGTGACTCCTCTCGGCTCTCGCCCACAGTGTGGGGGCCTGTCCGTGCGCCCGGTATGGGTAGGCAGTCCTGGGCTTGGGACCACTCATTCCCCAGATGGGGATGAAAGGGGGTTGGATTGGACTCCATCCTTTCCTCCGAATTGGCACGAAGATGGGCCGAGAAGATGTGGTGAAGCCCTTTGTGAGCTCCCTGAAAGGGTGCTTTGTCCTCCCTCCAGACTCACTTCCTCCTTTCCTCTGTCCTCGTCCATCCCCACCCTGAGCTGTACAGATGCCCAGATCACTGGCATGGATTGCCTTGGGATCCTAGAATCCACAGCTTGTTTTGAGCATTGCTTCTGCTAGGAATACCCTCCTCCTGGCCCCCTCTGTCTGGCCAGGAATGTGGCAGGGAGGGGCTGCTCCCCTCACTGAGGAGTCTGTGCTAGCTCAGGTTGTCCTCTGAGAAGCCAGAGGTGGCTGAGTAGGTTTGTTTCCCAGGAAAGGGTTCCAGATCACTCCACTTGAGGCCCCAGACCTCCAGAGTCTCCAATCCCAGTTACCTCCCTGCAGCTAGAGATATGGAAGAGGCAGACCCCTGCTAGGCCCTGCACTACACCTGTCTGCTCCTTCCAGGCCTGTGGGGTGGCTGTTAGCCCCACTTTACTGGGAGCGAGGGTACAGGGCACACAGCTGGCAAGGCAAGTGTAGGCAGAGCCTCCAGTTCACCGTGTGGGGCCACCATAGGAAGTGGGTCTCACAGGAAGCCCTACAGAGCCATATGACTCCTTTGGGCTGTGGGTGGCCAATGTTGGGAGCAAAAGGTCAACACCTCTACAAGGGGACCTTTAGAAATGTTCTCGGAGGCAGCGGTGAGGACTGTGGGTGACTTGCAGCAACTGGCTGGGCCTTCAGGGCTGAGGAGGGAGGCGGTCCCCCCGGCCTCAGCATTTGGCACAAGCTGGGGAGGGCGGTGTGGACCTTTGTCTTGGGTGTCCGTCGATGTGCCTGCCCCTCTGCAGTCTGCTGTGTGCCTGTAAAGCTCATGGTGTTTTCCTTTGCTCCCTTGTTCCTTCAAAGCTCACCAGGACTTCGGCTACTTTTATGGCTCCAGCTACGTGGCAGCCCCAGACAGCAGCCGCACTCCTGGGCTCTCCCGGAACCGGGATGGGTTGCTGGTTGCTGAGCTCAACCTCAACCTCTGCCGGCAGGTGAATGATGTCTGGAACTTCAAGGTGGGTCCCTGAGTCCCCTGCTGTCCCCCTGCTCCTCTGCTCAGACCCACATTCCCCTCTCAGGGCTGAGAACCGCAGCTGCTGGAGACAGCCCGCACTAGGCTCTGAACTGAGCAGAGGGCTGGGTCCTGCAGGTGTCGGCCTGCCCAGCCAGGGCTGGTGCGCAGGAGAGGACCCAGGCAGCAGGCCTCAGTAAATTCTCCTCTCATCTGATTTAGATTCTGGTGCCTCAAACAAATTAATCTCAATTTCATTTGTCCAGAGAATAGATTAGCTTCTCTGATCCTTTTTTCCTTTCCAGGCATTTGCACTTATCACAAGATGAATGTGTGAGTCTGGCTCTGCCTGGAGCCAGGCCCCGCAGTCTGGGCCTGGACAATAGAGGGAAATGGGTTACGCAGAGAAATGGACTCTGTGCCTGGCTTTGCCATTTTCTTGCTCAGTTGACTTAAGTAAGCCCCCCTCTGTTCCGGGACCTTAGTGCTTCCATCTGTAAAAGAGAGGCTTAACTTGAATGTCCCAAGCAGCTTTTTGCTGTTTTGGTTAATCCTCACCCGAGGATATTTTTCCATTGATTTTTAGATAGAGTGGAAGGAAAGGAAGGCAAGAAGGGAGAGAAAGAAAGGTAGATGTGAGAGAGACACATTGATTGGTTCCTTCCCACACGACCCCAACTGGGGCTGGGGATTGAACCCACAACCCAGGCATATGCCTTTGACCAGGAATCGAACTTGAGACCCTTCAGTCCAAGGGCCAATGCTCTAACTGCTGAGCCAAACCAGCCAGGGCCCAAGCAGCTTTTGAGACCTAATACCTGTGACACCAGGAATCATGAGAGGAGCATAGGTGCCCACCCTCCTGGAACAAGGCAGTGGCAGGCATGAACTGGGACCCCATAAAATATGGCATCTCGTGGACACACATAGAGATTGCTGTATTAGTGCCGGGCAGTATTTTCACCAACTCAGCATCCATTAATGAGCAAATCATACATGCAAATGAGTGGCACATTGTCATGACTGAATGACTTTGCCCAGCATGACTGGAATGATCCAGCCAGACAAGGGCTCCAGGCCCAGCTCCACGTTTACCTGAGCCTGGGTCCCTGGGCATTTCCCTGAGTCTCAGGTCCCCATCCAGACAAACAAGGCATTGCCCATGGGAAAGTCCCCTGGCCTGTCTCTCCTCTTCCTGGGAAGTTCAGATTGATGGAGGAATCTATGAAATTAGAAGTTGGAACCAGTAAACATAATGTTTTCTCATTAGTAACTTTTTGAAAGCAGACTTCCCAAGCTGTGGTGATGGGCATGAGCTCCTGTTGAGACTTTGGGAAGGAGGGAGGGAATGCTGGGTGTGAGTACTGTGGGTGGGCTTTCCAGTCCCACCCCAATCTCTCCAAGCTGCCACCTGTGTCCATGATGAGGTGCTTGTGGAGTGGACGGACCTCCAGCAAATCCCAGATGACTCTAGTCCTGGCTTGTGACTTGGGCTGTAGGCTGCTCCTCCGGATTCTGCAGGGCCACAGGACAGTCCTCCTTCCTGCCTCAGGGCAGGCCACACCTTCTAGATGAACAGATCAGAGTTCTTCCAGCAGGAGGGTCTGGGGTGTGTGGGTCACATTGGTATCCACGATCTTCACCACAGCCCTGGAATCAGTGCCGAGGGGTGAGAGGTCACATGGAGTTGTCTCTCTGTATTACAGTCTGAAATTGTCCTGCGGACCAGCCTTCCGGGCACATTTCTGTACCCTCACTGCCCTCTAGTGGCAGGATGTGTTGACAAGTAAATGAGGGCGTTTATAAAGCAGGAACCTCTAAAGTACACCCGTTTTGCTTTCAGATGACAGGCAGATATGAGATGTATGCACGGGAGCTCGCGGAAGCTGTCAAACCCAACTACAGCCCCAATATCGTGAAAGAGTAGCTGGCCTTCAGCCCTGCCCGCCATGGAGGGCACCTCTGCCCACAGCAGATCAGCAGGTGGACAGTTTTCCCTGATGATGTCTGATAATGTTGCTGTCCAGATTGATTTTTAAACACTCAGATGGTGAGGGCAGAATGAGGAGTGACTGCTCAGTGGGTACAAGGGTTCCTTGTGGGGTGATGAAAATGTTTGGGGACTACACAGAGGTGATGGTTACAAAATTGTAAATGTACTAAATGCCACTGAATTGTGTACTTTAAAATGGTTAATTTTATGTTACTTGACTTTCGCTTCCATTTAAGAAAACCCCAGGCACTGATTGTGAAAGTTGATTTGAAGTTAGGCTCCGGGGGTGCCCCAGTCCTGAAGTTCCATTTAGACTGTCAGCAACCGTGGGATAACCGTAGGAGTGTGTGCCAGTCGGAGAGGGTGAGGCAGACTCACTGGGTGGCCATGGGCAGGTTGAAGGATGTGTCAACTTGGTTAGGCTGCATTCTCCAGTTATTCAATCAGACATCAATCTGGGTGTTGCTGGGAAGGTATTTTGTAGATGTGATTAAAGTTAACTAAGCAAGTGAGATTATCCTGGATAATCCTGGTAGGCCTAATCCAATCAGCCAAAAGGCCCTATGAACAGAGCTGAGGCTTCCCCAAGGAGAAAATTCGGCCTGTGGACAGCAGCTTCGGCCTGTGCCTGAGAGTTCCAGAGTATGCCCTTCCTGGCAGCCTGCTCTACAGATTTCAGACTTGTCTATCCAGCCTCCATAATCATTGAAGTCACTTCCTTGCAATAAATCTCTTAATATATATTCTACTGTTTCTGCTTCTCTGGTTCTCCTGACTGATAGAGATTCCGGTATTGGAAGTGGTATCAGAACTAATAAATGAATTCTGCAAAGCAGCAGGATACAGAGTCAACACACAAAAGTCAGTTGCTTTTCTATACACTAACAATATACTATCAGCAAAGGAAGTTAAGAAAATTTAATTTACAATACCATCAGAATGAATAAGATACTTAGGAGTTAACTAAGGAAGTAAAAGATGTGTAAAATGAAAACTAGAAAATATTTCTGAAAAAAATTAAAATAGGATAAATGAAAAGACAACCTGTATTCATGGATTGGAAGATGTCAATATTGCCCTAAGCAATTTACAGATTCAGTGCAATCTCTATCAAAATACCAATGTTTTTTTCAGAAATAGAAAAATTCATCCTAAAATTTATGTGGCATCTCCAGGGACCCCAAGCAGCCAAAACAATCTTGAGCAAGAACAAAGTGGGGAGACTCATACGTCCTTATTTCAAAACTTAATGCAAAGCTATGGTAATAAAAACAGTATGGTGCTGGCATAAAGTCAGATACATATACCAATCGAGTGGAATGGAGAGCCTAGAAATAAACCCTCACTTATATTGTCGAATGATTTTCTACAAGGATGCCAAGACCATTCAGTGGGAAAGGATGGTCTTTTCAGTAGTGGTGCTGGGAACTGGATATCAGTGTGCAAAAGAATGAAGTTGGATCCTTACCTTCATATACAAATATTAGCTTAAACGGATTAATGGCCTTAACATAAGGGCTAAAACTATAAAATTCTTAGACGAAAAATATAGTGGGAAATCTTCATGACATTGGACATGACAGTGATTTCTTGGATGTAATACCACAAGCACCAGCAAGAAAAGAAAAAATAAGTAAGTTGGACTTCATCAAAATTAAAAACTTTTGTGCATCAAAGCATACTATCAACAGAGTAAAAAGAACCAACAGAATCGAAGAAAATATTTGCATATATTTAATAAAGGGTTAATATCCAGGATATATATATATATATCAATATCATAAAATCCAATAACTAAGAAACAACCTATTAAAAAATGGATAAAGGCCCTGGCTGGTTTAGATCAGTGGTTAGAGCATCGGCCCACAGACCAAAGAGTCATGGGTTTGATTCTGGTCAAGGGCATGTACCTCGGTTACAGTTTGGTCCCCAGCCCTGGTTGGGTCATGCACGAAGCAACCAGTTGATGTGGCTCTCACATCGATGTTTCTGTCTCTCCCTCTCTTCCTCCCACTCTACCTAAAGAGAAATGAAAAAATATATATCCTCAGGTGAGGATTTAAAAAAAAAAATGGATAAAGGCCCTGGCCGGTTTGGCTCAGCGGTTAGAGCATTGGCCTGCGGTCCGGAGAGACCTGGGTTCTGTTCCCGCTAAGGGCATGTACCTTGGTTGCAGTTTGTCCCCGGCCCTGGTTGGTCGTGTGGATGGCAGCCACTCGATGTGTCCCTTCATGTCGATGTTTCTCTCTCTCTCTCTCTTCCTCTCTCTCCCTCCTACTCTATCTGTGCAAAAAATGGAAAAATGTCCTCGGGTGAGGATAAAAAAAAAAAAAAAATGGATAAAGGACTTGAGTAGATATTCCTCCAAATATATATATATAACCAATAGCACATGAAAAGATGCTTAACATCACTAATCATTAGAGAAACACATATCAAAACTATAATGAGATACCATCTCACACTCATTATTATTTTTAAAAAGTTGTTTTTAGCCTGGCCAGTGTTGCTCAGTGGTTGAGCATCAGCCCATGCACTAAGAGGTCGCTAGTTCAATTTCCCAGTCAGGGCACATGCCCAGGTTGTGGGCCTGACTCCAGTGGGAGGCATGCAGGAGGCAGCCAGTTGATGTTCTCTCTCATCAATGTTTCTATCTCTCTCTCCCTTCCTCTCTCTCTTTCAAATCAATAAAGGAAAAAAATTTTTTAAATAAATAAAATAAAGTGTGTAATTCAATGATTTTTTAAAAATTGTTTTTTTATTTTAGTTTAGTTTAGTTTTAATCCTCACCCGAGAGCATTTTTCCATTTTTTGTTCAGGTAGAGTGGGAGGGAGGGAGAGGAAGAGAGAGAGAGAAACATCGACGTGAAAGGGACACATTGAGTGGCTGCCACCCGCACGACCATCCAGGGCCGGGGACAAACTGCAACTGAGGTACGCGCCCTTAGCAGAAACCGAACCTGGGTCTCTCGGGACCGCAGGCCGATGCTCTAACCGCTGAGCAAAACCGGTCAGGGCTGTTTTTAAACTCTTTTACCAGCTGCGTAGTGTTTGGCATGTAGATAGGCTCTTATTTATTTAATTATTCCCCTACATTAGACAGTAAGTCATTCATTCATTCATTCAGTCAGTCAGTCAGTCATTGGTATTACAAATGATGCTAGGATAAACTTTTTTTTTTAATCCTCACCTGAGAACATTTTTCGATATTTTGTTCAGATAGGGTGGGAGGGAGAGAGAGAGAGAGAAACATCGACATGAAAGGGACACATCGAGTGGTTGCCACCCACACAACCCAACCAGGGCAGGGGACAAACTGCAACCGAGGTACGTGCCCTAAGCGGGAACTGAACCCAGGTCTCTCTGGACCTCAGGCAGATGCTCTAACCGCTGAGCCAAACCAGCCAGGGCTAGGATAAACATTTTAATGGCTAAATTGTCTTATTTTTGTTGTTTTCTTTAGGATAGGTTTCAAGAAATGGAATTCACTTTGTTAAAAAAAACATGAACATCGCCCTGGCCGGTTTGGCTCAGCAGTTGGAGCATCGGCCTGCGGACCAGAGAGTAGTACCAGGTTCAGTTCCCGCTAGGGGCACGTACAAAAAAACAAAAACAAACATGAACATCTTGTTAAAAACTGGGGAGGTCTGAGATCCTGTGCTATTTGCAAGCTGACAAGTTAGCCAACCTTAGTTTTATGTGTGCTGACAGAAGACTACGATCCTGGGTCAGAAGCAAGGATAGTTTATTACAGCAATAGCAGCAGCCCGAGTACCAGCATCTCCTTGTAGCAGTTCCCAAGCTGAAATTCTCAAGGGCAAAGCAAAGAAGGCTAGTGACTCCTGTATATGCAGCAGATCACATGAAGAGGAAGAGATAAAGGGCTTGGATAATTTGAATCTTTTACACAGGCCAGTTAGTATGCCTGCCATTTTCTCTAAAGGCGGGCACTATCTTTAACCACCAAGGTTGCAAGAACACCTTACCTGCTCCAAAGGAAGACCTATCTCTCTTCCAAGTTGGCTCCACAAATATCTTGAAAAGATAATCCAGAACAAAGACATTTATAGTTTTAGCTCACAAGTCATCCAGAAATTTGATAAATGTAAGAGACCCACAACAATAACTTTCAACATTATCCACCCTTCATTTCTACACCATCTTGGCTTCTGGCAACTTTCCCATGAGTACATCACTCCACCAGTCACTCTGATTGATCTGACCAGCAGAGCCTGGACCAAATCAGTTCCGTTTGTCTCACAGCATTTAGCTAATTTTATCCACAGCACTTCAAAGAGTAGAATGAGCCCATCCTGCAGTATTAACTTCAATCCTGCCCCTCGGGGTCTTTGACCCAACAAGCTGGACAAATCCTATAAACCATCAAGGTCTGTCTCAAATATTGACCTTTCCACTTGGCCTAAGTCAATAACCCAGAAACAAAGGTGTGTATTAGACATTGTCCAGTCTCTGCTTTGGCCCACAGGAGGAAGTCTAGGCAAATCTATCATCTATACCAACCCTGGGCAGTGAGTTGACACTGCCCTGAATACCTTCCAGGGCCAAGGTAGTACCACTGATCACTTCAGCTGAAGTCAGGGACAAATGGTGCATCACCTTTTCTGATCAGATAACTACCATCTCAGGAATAACTACCCACAGAGTGCACATATGTAACAAGTCATGGGTCCAGAAAGCTCCCCTCAGTACTTTTAGCCTCATTTTAGTGAGCTCTCCACAGTTGTCTGTGGGCTACCCCATCTATTGGTGATGTTTATTTGAAAGTCTCTTCGACCACCATATAGATGCAAGACACCTTTTTGGGGAGGTTGGCAAGTTAATGTCTGGCTTTCACACAGGTATAGCCATCAGGGCAAAGATGGTACCCCTAGAAAGAAAGTGTTTACAAGGGTTGGGGTCCCCCAAGTGGGACCTACATCAGTTGGAGCACAGGTTGATAGTACCTACAACTGGTAGGCCTTGGGGTTCCCATTTTAGTTTGAATAATTGAGTCCAACCCTTGTATTCGGACTGAGTGAGGTCTGTAAGAATGGGAGTTGAGAAGACATCTGGTGGTATTGCAGGTGTTTTTCCTAGAAGGTGTAGGAGCCAGGATATCCCCTGAATTTCCAATAAACTTCTGGTAAGATTAATAGGAACAATCACATTGTGGTAAAAGCCATCTGGTCAGGAAGAAGGCAAACCCTGAAATCAGTTACATTTGAGGAGCTTGCAAATGTCTGGGAGAACTGCCCCAGGGCATTTCTGTGCCTAAGGAAGGCTCCAGAGGCCATTATGAAACAAGACCATTAATGATGAATGCTCCACCCTCCCTATCTCCTGGGATCAACAGTAGTTCCTATGTAGGTGCCAAAGTTGCTGCTTCCTCTCCAAAATCAGTGTAGCTAAATCCCAGTAGCTAAAACATCACCTTTTTTATTTTTCCAGTTTTCCTTTTCTCATACCCAAACCTTTGTTTGGAAGGGTCAGTTGCATGGGGAACAAGGGCATTTTTATAAAATGCACAGGGACCCATTATGTTCCCTATGTTGTCCCATAAAGGGTCTCAGCAAGCAAGGTACTCACTCAAGTGGTCTCAGCAAGCAAGGTACTCACTCAAGTGGTCTCAGCAAGCAAGGTACTCACTCAAGTGGTCTCAGCAAGCAAGGTTCTCACTCAAGTGGTCTCAGCAAGCAAGGTACTCACTCAAGTGGTC